GCAGAAGAATGCTTTGTTTTGGTGTCTAGGAAGCTTCATGGCTAAAAGCAAAGGCAGTGGTAGATGTTGGACATAGGAAAGGCAGTTACGCTGTGCTTGTTCAGAGACTCGAGAAACAAAGATGTTGGTGTGAAAGAACTGGAAAAGTTATGAGTCAGCGAATAAAACAATAAATGTTATTATGGGAATACAGATAACTTTACTGACAGTGGAATATTCTGGACATACTATATGTGGATTGATTTATTTTTATCTATTTGTCAGTCTATCTGTCTAATAATATATGTGCCCAAAGAGACATGGAAAAATGTATTCACACTTTTTCATACATGGGACAGGAATCTGTACAATACCCTTTCATCAGATCTGCATGTTGTTATGGCTATGCATATTCATAACTCAAGCTGTGGAAAAGCTTGGGAAGCAACACGGGTGCTAGTGGCTCAAAGTCAGGGTCTCTAAAAATCTAGAAAGGGTACACAACATAGACTCCTCTGTAGACTAATGGTCATGCTTAGAGACCACTAATGCTAAAAACTTGAATAAGAAGTAGCTGTCTTTGTGTGTTAATTCCAGGTACTCCTCTATCAGGTCACTGAGGGATTTCTTAGGGTCTGTTCCAGGTTTAAGAAGGGAAAGGAGTCTTGGATAACAGATGTGCGAGCATCACAGTCAAATCATGGAAAGCTGAGTGCCACTGAAATATATTTTGACTTCTACTGAAAAAATAATTCTTTTAGGCTGTAGCTTGACTGTACCTTTTTGATTCTCTCTTCTGGTTCCCATCTTGGTTCCTGTATTGCGAGTGATATAAACTGCTTGTTTCCATTTTCCTGGATCTTCACTATCTATTCCTACTTGACCTATCAGCACTGCCATTATTTTGACTCTTGCATCTAACTGTCCCATGAAACCACAGTTACTGCCCACTTACCACACTTCCAAATAAGCACTTTTACCCTTTCACTCAAGCTTTCTCTTGGGAGGAACTCCCAGCAGATGTCTGTAATCTTACCTCATTCCCTGCTCTGAAAGCATCATGATGCCTGCAACACACACAACAACAATCAGGCAGCTGGCTCCTGACCACGACGCTGAACGTCAGCTCACTCTTTCTTTGTGTTTCCCCATCAATGTCCGTGTTCCCACTCATGTCTCTAGTTTCATGCTTAGACTGTCTCCGCTTTTAAGCAAGAACATGTTTTGTGATTTGCTGGTGCAGCACCTCATCTTGCAGTATAATGTGGGCTCCAGGTGAGAGTATAAGACAACACGCTGGGGCTGGATGGTCTTAGGCAATCGCTGTACTCCCCTGTGCGGGAAGACTGTCTGCAAATTCCTGTACTGGATCTCTAGGCCGCTGGCGGAGGAGGAGAGGGCTGGTTCAGGTGGCCCTTCTGACCCATACTGCTGTACGAAGGATTCTCTGGAGCAGATGGAAGTGAAGGCTGAGTAGGGTCAGGTCCCACTTTCTCGCTATAATAATGGCCCTTTGGTTTGCGAGAGAAGTTAAAGCTGCCCTCCGCAGCTTTTATTTGGAAGCCGCTGCCTGGCAGTCTGCCCCATCTGCTTCATCCAGGCAGTGAATCAAGCCTGTTGTACTTAAACCATTGACCCCTACTCTAAGAAATACCAGAGAAGAATAGACTTTAACTAAATCTTTCAGTAGCACCCTCTCCCCTTATTTTTCTCCGTCCCTCCCATTGTTTTGAAGCCAAGTCACTTTTTGTTTGCTGGAGGAAGATTAAACAAAGGAACACACCAGCGGCGCCAGGGTTTTTTGACGCACGTGTTGGCTGTATCATTCGGGCAGCCTTCCAGCAGGTATGCCCGTACAGCTGCAGAGCCATTCACTGCCGAGTCGTAAAACTGCTGGCAGGTCTCACCATCTGTGAGGAAGGCTGTGTGAGAACTTCCCTACTTACTGGACGGCTTTCAAGACAAATGTCACCGCTGACCCCATTAAGACAGCCAACGCTCAAGAAACAGCGTAAGGCATTGCAAGGCTGTTCTCTTTTCTGTCCTGGTTGAGTCCTGCAGTTTTGTAGATGTTCCCGCATCAAAAATACTTGAAACCTTGTGACATTTTAACATTGCAAAACACTGAGTAATTGTGAGACTCTTCCCATCGAGTGTCTGAGACACTGTGGCAAAGATTAGGGTGGAAAATTGTGGACTTTTTAAGCTACGCTGCTACCATTCCAGGAAAGAAAATGGGAGGGGAAAGAAAAGCAAAGCCAAGCCAAGAGCTAGCACTCAGAATCTTGTTTGGTAGCCTGGCACAGTCTCTGGAGAGAAATGTGTCCTCTGTACCTAGTCCATCCCCCACAGATTTTGGTCTTGCTGTTCACAAAATCAAAATGCTTTCTTCATCTAAGCCCTTGCCAACAACTCTTCCATCCAACAGTGTACGAATTTCATTTCTAGCTGATTCTGAAAGATACTGAATTAAAAGTCATTTGAAACAATATCTGACTCTTGCAATGCAAGCGTCTGTAGCTAAGCCCAGGGACTCCCTACAAATTTGTATTGGGTTTGCTTGGCAAGGTTTTGGTAGCAGGGGGGCGCTACAGGGGTGGCTTCTGTGAAAAGCTGCTAGAAGCTTCCTCTATGTCCGATGGAGCCAGTGCCAGCTGGCTCCAAGACGGACCCTCCGCTGTCCAAGGCCAAGCCCATCAGCGACGGTGGTAGTGCCTCTGGGATAACATATTTAAGGGGAAGAAGTTGCGGCGCAACAGCAACTTCAGCTGGAGAGAGGAGTGAGAATATGTGAGAGCAGCAACCCTGCAGACACCAAGGTCAGTGAAGAAGGAGGGGGAGGAGGTGCTCCAGGCGCCAGAGCAGAGATTCCCCTGCAGCCTGTGGTGAAGACCGTGGTGAGGCAGGCTGTCCCCTGTAGCCCATGGAGGTTAACGGTGGAGCAGGTATCCACCTGCAGCCTGTGGAGGACCCCACGCCGGAGCAGGTGGATGTCCACAGGAGGCAGGGCCCC